AGATGATCAATATTTAGTTGTTTGCAATATATCATCTAATATCTTGTGTATTCTAAGCAGATTTTTGTAATAATTTTCAATAAAAACTGGTTGTTTTATATCAAGGAGAATTTGGGTGTTTGCAATATATCATCTGATATTCTTTAATATAATTTCTATGATTTGCATGATAAGTTTGTTGTTTTTTGATTTAAAAGACAATATACTTTTATAATTTTACATTAGGTCATAGATTTTAATAAATTATATAAAGGAATTTGCTGATTGCAATATATATGAGAGGTTTTAATTGCAATACCTTAATTAAATTTTCATTACCATATCTTTAATGTTTACAACTATCTCAAATTTATAGAACCAAATCGAAAATAGTGATTACAAAATTCTTCAGTTTTGGATAGATATTACAAAACTACATACTGGTAAGATTTCAAGCACAACCCAGGTTACAAATTATCTTGAAGCTTAAAATACGATAATTTAAGTTTCTTTAATGGAAATTTTAATTTTTAATCTAGAGCATTACAATACAGATGTTCTATTAAGTGTGCAGACTGCTATATATTCGTGCATTGATAGAGCATAACTAATAACTATCATGAATTATCTGAAAAATATTTCAGAAGTTCAGATTAAAAAAATTCTTCTACGAGCAAAAATTAAAAAAAAAGAAAAAATTATCGAATCATATAAGAACTTTCTAGTAAGTTTTTAGTTTATTGGTTTATTAATATTTTAAATTAATATTATTCAAATTATAGGCAGATACCAAGCTACAACAGTTTTTCAAAAAGCTAAAAGACCTTAGTAAAATAAAGGAAAAGATTCTAGAACTTCCTATAACCGAACTATTTTATTGCTTTATAGTAAATTTCAACAGCGAAATTTGAAAGTCTATTTACTCAAAGAATGCCATTTTATATATCGAAAACGACTACTTATTTAAATTTTTAACAGAGCAATATGATGATATCAATAACGCTATGGATTTAGTATTTGAAAAATATGATCCAAACCTTGAACCTTCATCTCAAATAGAATTATATTCTGATTTAGATGGATTACATCAAAATTATTGCAAAGCCATTATGAAGTTATAGCAAGTTTTACACTATTATATTATTGTTAATCTTGCTTTCAATCTCATTATTTTCTCTTTGGTTCACTGGATCAACCCACCTGGCTGTTAGCTTTGAATCACATTATGTTTATAAATATGTATA